ATAGTACTTACAAACTTTAACACTAACCTAACCCACATTTTGCAAATTCTAAAACTGCCCCCCTTGGAAAGTCTGACCAAATTGCCAATTAGCTAATGCCACGTTGTAGCTTGTCACAGTTCTACCGTCACCAGTGGTAACTTTAAAAGAGAGGCTTTGTCCATTGAGATATGAATTGCTCTGCCAATTTTGGCCCCAATTTCTTGACATTGGCTGCCACCTAATTTTGGACCCTTTGATTGACACTGCATGGGCATCTCCTGCACCCGCGACGTTGGTGATCAAAACCAAGTTGAAGTAAGAGTGGCCATTGATTGTGAATCTTATTCCTCCCTTTTTTATACATGACACTCTTCCATCATCAACAAATAATAAGAAAAAAAGAAAATTTTAGTAAGTTTGTAAGAATTGAGAGTAGTAATGATGAATTGATTCATAGTTAGCAAATATAATTAAATTAATTTTTTATTGTATAAATCAAGTATATTTTGAAAGCAATAAGAGATCATTTGAGCCGGAATATCGTAAAAGTATATTTGAATGAGATATTTTAAATAAAAGTGTAATTTTTTATTTTATTTTAAAAATTCATTAAAAACAGCTCCCTTCATATTTTTCACTCCAATTTTTTTTCTTCATATTTTTCTAAAAATATTTTCTATTTTATGAACATTTTTCCATATTTTTATTACTTGATTTGATATTTTTCATTATTTTTCATGCATTTTAATTTAATTAAAATTATTTTTATGTATTTTTAAATTCTCCAATTTTTTATATGATCCTTGAGTTGTTTATGACTTGAAGTATTTTTCTTGATCATTTGATTTTAGTTTAGAGGTTTCTTTCTCATTTTCTCTCTTGTTTTCTTTTTAAAAATCATTTAAAAAATATTTTCATGCAATTTAGTTGTGTATTATTGCATTTTTGGTTTGCTTGCTGGTTTTTGCCTTGGATAATAACTTGTTGATCAAGTTTCTCTTCAATTTCAATGGACTTTGGGTGTTGATGAGGTTGAATGAACCTTCACCAATTCAAATCTATCATTAAATGAATCATTTGATTCATTTTTGGTGCTTTGAGTTGATGATAGGTTTAGTGTCCTAATCCACCAAGAAAGGTGATTGAAATTGATGATGAATGGATCTTGAGTCTTGATTCAATTTGATCATTTCTTCATCTCTCCTTCTCCGTATTTTTCTTTTCTTTTTCTCATGATCAATTGGATGACTTGTTGTCCATCTTGTTCATGATGTTTGGAGTGATGCTTGATGAACTTTCATCATTTCAAATCTACCATTTGATTGATCATTGATCATTGGAGGTACTTCGAATTGATGCATAAATTTGTCCTAAGTTGTCACGAAGGATTGATTAATGTAATGGACCAATCGACTTACCTTAGTTCTTGATCCCTCCTTGGTTTTTACCCGTGCTACATGTTTTATAGACTGTGATACGGTTGTTAACAAAGCGTTAAATTTTTCCCGAACCGGATTATTAACTCTAACATCAATACTAACCATATTATTGTGCTAACTTTTATTTTATGTCATTTACTTTTATGCACCTTTATTTTTATGTCATTTACTTATTGTTTTTTATATATTGCTTTTATCATTACATATCATATTGCTATTGTGTATGTTTATGCCTTTTTTCCTTTGTCCACTTGGACCTTTCTCTTTCTTTTAAGACACTAATAAAAGAAAAATCCTTAAATGACTTAATTACTTCTTTGGACTATTGGTTACTATCCCTTGCTTGGATAGTGGACTTATGGACTTAAAATTAGGTTCTTGATCCTTTGCTTTAAAGTTGTGACTTGAAACTTTGGAATTCATTTGGTACCTTTGACCTTGGGTTGACTTTTTGAAGACTTAATTTGTGTTTTGCTTATTTGTTGCTTGTTGCTTAAATCCATAGGATGAGAGTGTTGGTTTGACTTATTTCAAAAGCTTGCTATCTTAGTTAGATATCTCCTTTCCTTACTTTTACTTTATGCATTAGGGTAGCCTTTTCATCTCCTCCCCTTCTTTAATTTTCAAAATCTTCTTATTTTCAAAATTGAACCACTTTCTTAATAAACATTGACTTTTTCTAGTGATTTTCAAACTCTTTTCTTAAATAAATGCTAATTCATCTTAAGCATATCAAGACCATTTCAAAAGACTTAAAAAACATGCAACCCATTCAAACCATTTTTATGCCCTCTGTGCACTTTTCTCTTTTAAAAATTTTCTCAAGGATTAGACATGAGTAATTTTCATAGTTGAGATGTAATTCTCCTATCTTCATAGTGATGTTTGTTGTTGATTCTTTTCCACTTGAGAGATTTAGTGGCATACTTGTTGATCTCTATTCAAGTTATAGCCCTTCTCAATATTGATGCAAATGTCCATTTTCATATACTTGTGTGTGAGTAGTTGAGTTTTCTTCTTAAAATGACAACTTGTCTTTCCATTTAAAATCAATCACAACAAATGCTTTTGTTATTTTTACCACGAACTACGAGGTTTTGATCCTTCATTGCACTTTGTGGGTACGTAGGCACAAGGCTCAAGAAGTCTTATCAAACACCAAATTTCCTAAAAAATAATTCTCTTCTCATCTCCTCAATCTTTTGCAAACAACACCTTTTAAGCCAAACATAGATTTTCAAGAGGTTCCTGTAGAGTACTAAAGATGTTTTGGGTGCTAACACATTCCCATTGCATAACCAACCCTCCTTATCCTTTGTCTCTATGTTTTATTAGTTTTGTTTTAAAACTTTTATGGGTTTTGTTCGTTCTTTTCCCCATTCCTTTGGAAAAATAAAAGTGTGATGCCGACTCTTGCTTTATGAGTTAAGTTAATTAATAGCTTAATCTCAATTTTCCCCGTTACACATGTGTGTATTATGAAACATACTATGGATTACTTACTTGTGTTGAATGCATAATAATTAATTAAAACCTATGATAAAAAGTGAGGCTAAACCTAGCTTCATTTGCCATATACTATATGATGAGCACAAATCAGAAGCAATATCCATGAGAAATTCTATATTGAGTTGGAAGGCCGAAATCTAATACAAGAGAAAACTATTGAGTTGGAGGATCCATGAGAATACTCCAATGTGGTGCAAGAGATAAACACATGTAGTTTGCGTGTTTTAGCAACACCGAATGAAAAAGTTAACCTTGATATATTAAGGGAATTTTAGGCGAATGCAAAATTCACAAAAGAAGCACCACTGGCAAAGGTTTCTTAGGTATGGGGCTAACGAGTCCCATTTTATCGAGATGACATACATGCTTACATAGATGACCATTATGTGTCACCTCCTAGATGGTTGGATCCCTTTGCAGTGCAACTATCAAAAGGAAATTTAGATTATGATGAGATAGTTGCTGACATCTATATAGTAGAAAAGACCTATCAGTTTGGACGAGATGGATTTCCTATCTATTTTAAGAGATCTAACTTGACTATTCAAGCTCAAATCCTGATGACCTTCCTTCTTCACAATGTTACTCCTGTTAGTCACCCATCTTTGCAACCTTGAAGAATGCACAACAGATCTGCTACATCATAAAAATGAAGCAAGTAGACATAACAAGGGTAATCTCCAACAAAACTTAAGAGATTATAGATTCATAAAAAAGACACAACATTAGCTTCCTTGGATTGATCATGGGATTGTGCAAACATTCTAGATAACCATCATATCCGACATATGTTTAAACTTGATGATACTTTTATTGCACGATATTGTATATGTTACACACACACACACACACACACACACACACACACACACACACACACACACACACACACACACACACACACACACACACACCTGGACTCCTGTTGCATTCATTGAGCCTCAATATAGAGCAACACACTTTGATAACATAGATCATGCTATGAGAGCTTGATTTTCATATGTTTGGGATGTCATTTAGGCATACCACATAAGTATGTTATCTATTAATAATTCACCAAAAAGGTTGTAACTGAGATGCAAAAAATTTTTTACACTGTCATCCAATAGAGATATATCATGAATTTAATTGATATGCACTGAAAGTGTAAATTTTTTTTACACTGTCAACCAATCACTATCATGTATCCCGTCAAATTACACGGTAAATTTTAAGTTACTGATATGACATGGCAGATTAATGAATTCCTATTGGATGATAGTGTATTTTACACTATTAGTGCATACTAACTAAACTCATATATCATTATGTTATGTTATATAATTAGTTTAAAGCTTTTAGTCTCACTTGGCGAGATGCATGATCGTTATTAGTTAATAGTATAAAAAAATTTACAATATTAGTGCATCACCCTTTTTCTAATTATTATTAAAACATATTTATATTCATATAATTGAAAAAGATATTAATTTAATTTTAAACCTAAACCAAAATTATAAACCCTAAACTTTCTAATTATATAAATATAAATATGTGTTAACAATAACATGGGTTTGAAACTCCTTCTCTTCAATTGTAGTAGCACAACTGATATATGCACTAATCTTTTTACTTATCACTCAAATTGATATTGTGAGGTTGAACCTCCATCTCTTTAAATATTCAATTTTATAAATTTTAAATAATTAATACAATAAAAAAGTTATTTAGATTTTTTGTTGTTGTTATAATATAATGAATTATATTATTATTAAAAAATAAAAAATAATTATAAATAACGTGTAAATATCAATTATGTCACTTTTGTCATGATAATGTGGGTTTGAACCATTATTGTTTTATATATTCATTATTCATTCTTTTATAGTTTATTTTACTTATACTATCAATAAGAAATAACTTAATATAATAACTAATAATTCATTTATTTTTTACAACATTAATATTTAAAAGGAATATTATGAAAAACAAAAATAAAATAATGCTACGTAATATAGTAATAGCATATACTTGGCTTTAATTAATAGTACTTACAAACTTTAACACTAACCTAACCCACATTTGCAAATTCTAAAACTGACCCCCTTGAAAGGTCTGACCAAATTGCCAATTAGCTGATGCCACGTTATAGCTTGTCACAGTTCTACCGTCACCAGTGGTAACTTTAAAAGAGAGACTTTGTCCATTGAGATAGGAATTACTCTGCCAATTTTGGCCCCAATTTCTTGACATTGGTTGCCACCTAATTTTGGACCCTTTGATTGACACTGCATGGACATCTCCTGCACCCGCGACGTTGGTGATCAAAACCAAGTTGAAGTAAGAGTGGCCATTGATTGTGAATCTTATTCCTCCCTTTTTTATACATGACACTCTTCCATCATCAACAAATAATAAGAAAAAAAGAAAATTTTAGTAAGTTTGTAAGAATTAAGAGTAGTAATGATGAATTGATTCATAGTTAGAAAATATAATTAAATTAATTTTTTATTGTATAAATCAAGTATATTTTAAATGCAATTATATAAAAGAGTTCATTTGAGTCGGAATATTATAAAAATATATTTGAATGAGATATTTTAAATAAAAATGTAATCATTAGAAAAATTAAAAAATAAATTAGATAAAATTTATTATTTGAATAAAAAATAGAAATAATTATTAAATGATAGAAATTTAAAGAAATATTTTGTGCAAGTTAAATTAAATGATTTTAAAATGACACGTGAAATTAAAATTTTTAAAATTTATCTCATAATCTATAAAATGTAAATCTCAAATTGAATATTATTATTATTTTTTTAATTTTGCAAATTGGTCTTCATAACTTCTAAATTTTGTAAATTGATCTTTAAAATTTTCAAATACAAAAATCAAATTGATCTTAATAATTTTCAAATTTTATAAAGGGATTCTTCTAAATTTTTAAAAATTGTAAATTGGTTCTTATTACTCAAATTTTTAAATTTGATCTAAAAATTTCAAAGTTTATAAAAATGGCCTTGAAATTTTTACAATGAATCATCATAATGTTCTATCAAAACAAAATAATTCAAAAATAAATGAATTTCAATTAAATTATTTAAATTGTTTAAAATTTTAAATTCTTTAAAAAAAAATTAAATTATATAGAAGGGATGGACATATTTATTGATATAGCATAAATTTGATATATTCAAAAGAATTTAATGATAAACATATTCAAAAGAATTTATAGAAGCTAGAAAACATTCCCAAATTGATGGCTTTGACATACCTTCTAAAAGCTATAGGCACAATTCCAGCTTTATATTGAGCAATTTGAAGAAATGCTGGTTCTGCCATATCAAAGTGTTGCAGAGGAGGATTACACCAACCACCATTACTATTTGGTGGACAAAAGTTTGTGGCAGTAACAACAATGGTGCTAGCCTTGCACCATCTTGACTCACCAACACACTTCATTTCATAACATCCCCCACAGCTCAAACCACTCTTGAACAAAGCTGTGCTTAGTGCTGCAGTGTTAGTTCCATATCCTTGATTGTACAAATTTCCATAACCACATGCACCTCCTACATACACAAGCATCAAACAAAACTATAATAAACTCACATGTGAAAAAAGTATGTCCGAGTCAATATTACTATTAGTGTCAGAAACTGATCCTGACACTTGAGATTCATTATTAGTGTCGACGTGTCACTGTCGATGTCGTGTTTTTAATATTCGTGTTTCATAGATAATAATCACGATCATCTACACCAATACCGTTCTTTAAAAAGATTTAAAACTCACCCATTGTGGCGGCAGCATTACCGCCGCCATAGAAAGTGGCATGACCATTCTGCCAACCACCGTAGTTGGCAGTGGCCCCATGAAAATGCATTTCAATGAACAGAAAAAACATAATAACTGGCAAAGTAGATGACATTGAATGTCTTTCTTTGTTAGACAGGGCAATGTATAGTTTTGTTTGTTTTGATTGATGTTGAATGCAATTAAGAGTTCTCTATTTATAAGCATCATTTAGTGACTAAAACATGGTGGGGCTTTTTCCTTAAAGGCATAAAACAAGTGTCAAATCAAAGTGCACATGCGCTGGTTCTTGTTGGGATTCCTCACAGAAAATCTTAGTCCAGAACTCTGCACATGCATACCCCAACCAACCATCTTTCTTCATTAAATTTTTAGACCAATACTTTTTGTAAACGAATTGAAAATTCAAAGGTGAAACGTAAATTGAAAATTTAAAGGTGAATTGTGTGTCTATTTGTCTAAACGTTTAATTCAACAATCTCGATTAGCACATGCAAGATTGTGTCAATATTCAAAGGTGAAAAATGTGTATCCGTCTAGATGTTTAACTCGACAATCCTGATTAGCGCATGCGAGATTGTGTCAATGTTTGGAATCCAAATTCTTAATTTAAAATTGTACTCATTATGGCATTTGAGATTAGTGTAGGATAAGGTCATTATTAAGGAAATAGTATAGTATTATCTTAACACGTGAAAGAGTGTCTATCTATCTGTGCAATCAAAAGCAGGAACAACAGCATTTGCATCATATATGCTCAACTTTTTCAACATGTAAAGGATCATAATATCTGTTATTTTCACTAATTTGACAAGTAGACAAGATTCCAACAGCAAGCTTATTAGTTATGAGGTTCTTTAATCTAATTAAAGTGCTGGAATGATAATCTAATGCTTCTGTTGCATAGATAAGTTGTGTATGGTGGCCCTATGGTATTCCCACGCGTGTGAAAAGAATCATCATTGCTTGTTAGCTTATCTTTTTGTCAATTAGATAATGTGGAAATTAGTTATTGGATAATATTCCACTTGATTAGTACTCATGTAACTTGACAACCAAAATGAGTTTGGGTAAACCAAGGACTGGGGTCATACAATTTGTTGTCTTAGAAATACAATACATGAGTTCTGGAAAGCCTCTTCAAACTTACAATCCTAACATATACAACCTCTGCTCATGATAGGTTGACAGAAGAGAAAATTGTCAAACAAAGAGGTCTCTTTGCCACCTAAACAAGTTGGTCTCTGAGCATAATTAATCAAGCTTCTATTAAAGAACAACTAGCATTGACTTCCAAGTATGTGCCTTCTGCAACTCACACCAACTAAGGGACCCAAGTACTTGAAAGGCAAGTCAATTGTCTTGCAAGTCATCTACATTCACCCTCCATAAAATTATTTGCTATGAAACATGACATCCATGAAAAACAAGAGAGAAAGCTAAAGAAATTCTCTGTGATACTACTATTACAATGGGAGAAATTAACCTTTTAATGAGGTAATTACATCTTTATTTATTTATAGACGGTGCTTACTTACCAACTAATGACTAAAAATGAGTAATACAAGACATATCAAATTAAAGAAGGATACAATGAAAGATGTCGAAAAAACATTGACTAAACTCAAAGCCATAAAGGCAAGAGCTTAACCATCAAGCACAAGCCATAAGTGATGGCTTAACCACTTTGAGAAAGCAACATAAACAAAGCCAATTAAGGCACAAATCTTAACCATCAAGAGCAAACAACTACTCAAGACAGAAGCAAAACATCAAAGCTTAACCATTCATGAGAGAAGCGTCATGCTAAACTATCATAAAAGGAAGCTAAAATCAAGTAATAAAAGGCTGAACAATAAAACAAAGTGAAGCATATCCCAAAAACAAACAAGATGATCTACAACCACAATAGTAACGGTAAGCAACAAATCCTGAGGCAAATCCAACAAGAACCCAACTAGTGTAGTTAACTGGTGTACCAATAACAGTAAGAACTTGTAAATCCATCTTCATGCACTCAATTGTAAGTGCTCCATGCTCAATTGCAATAGCCTACAAATCAAGAGAACAAATCCACAAACTTGCAATTGCCACACAATGCTTTCTTAGTAAGATATACAAGTTACTATATTTCGAAAGGATGTGGCAACAAATAGAGATAGGACACAGAATAGAAATCCAAAACTTGTTGCCTTGCTCATAACTAGCCATAATTGACACAACAAGGTCCTGCTTTAGTGGCTTTCTATGGACTCATACATATGGCAATTACCATAGATGTCCATTAAGAAAGTACAAATCAAGTTCAAAGACAGCATGAGTAATATGCAGTTCCAGTATAAAAACAAACAATTACAAGCTACAATGAGCAACAACAACAACACCACAATTTTGGAGAAACTGGAAATAAAAACTGCACAATTTCCTCCATCAATCAGAAACAATTTTAAACATTATAGGAAAATAATTTCAAAACACCTTTAAACCTCAATGATGGAATCAAAAAACACAATAGAAGTATGCCAAGCAACATAATCGATGACACAGACACTACACAGTGACAATCAGAATTAGCAGAAATTGCAGCACACCATCAAGATCCACAGTGATATCCAGTTAAAACTTCTTGGATAAGTTAACTCTAAGCCCACAGACCAACTTGAGCCACCTTAGAATAGCATTCATATATCAAATTGCAGTCATTTTGTTAGTTTTTCATTTGTCTATTATTTTAATTTCAGTGATTTTTTTCCGTATAAAACATCAAATAGGAGAGAACATGGAGGTCCCATTTGTTGTCTGGTCTCATTAGAAGCAAGAAATTTCCTATATTCTTGATAAAATCAATAATCACCGTGCGGGTTGGAAGAGTGAGCTTCTTAATAGAGCTGGCAAAGTGACCCTTGTCAAGTCTATCATCACTTCTATGCCAGTTTATTCTATGCAGAATATGCGGCTGTAAACAAGTATTTGTCATCAGACTGACATAAATGTGAGACTGTTCATTTGGGGTAGCAAGTCTAGCCAATGGGTGAATTGGTAAACATTTACTCAGAAATCAGGGAGGTATGGTATTCATTATGCTAGAGCCACTAATATTTCTATTCTTGGTGAGGATGTTTGGAACTCAATTCACATACCTAATAAAAGTTGGGTTCATTTACTAACTAGCTTAACCCCAGGGGTTGGCCAGTTGGTGAAGGCTTGGACCTAAGAGTGTGAACCTCTCAATATCGCAGGTTCGGATCTCGCGTGATGCTAACAATTTCTTGTAGAGCTAGTCCATACAGAGCCGGATACCGAGTTTTAAAAAAAATCACTATAATGAACAACAATATAACCAACCACCTAACAAACTTGTAATTGCACAACCAAACTACTTTTATGCTTTAATATGTCCCATTAACATCATATCTATAACAAATTGCATATAGGTTAAGAAAATATGGCCAAGTAGGTAGTGGTCTACATATAGACACATACCTCATTTGTATGAGGAAAACATGGTAGGAAATGATGAATCTCATCTCATAAATTTGAATCTTAAAAAGTTTATCCGTAATCAAATACATAGACCAGATACAACAAAACAGAGTAGCAACTCTTACAAGACAGTCATAAAGAAAATCGGCCACGGCCAGCAATTTATTGACCCAGCAGCGCAACACGATCCTTTTGTACTGACTGAGTTAGGATGATATCAAACAGCTCACATCGAATAGGCATCTCTATCTCATAGAAGGGGTTCTTCAAAACATAGTCCGTATACAATTCGTACACAAATTTCAATAAACTTTCTATTTGTTGAGTGCCAGGCTCACACACTGCAAAAAACTTTGTCCCTGTTGGAGAGAAGAATGAATTATTATATGTTGTATCAAAATCTAAAATCTAAACAAGGGTATGGATGGGAAATTATTATAAAGTGCTTTAATTTCCCTTTGATATTAAAATCTAAACAAAGGGCCAATTAAGATGACAATGCAACAGTAAAGATTGAACTGCAACTTGTACAGCAGCCAAACAACTAGAAATATCTAAACTATCATGTTCAACAGTTAAGCTGCATAGAGAAGTTACATACATACCGGTGTGGGTAAAAGTCAAATGTTTGTATCAGATATACGATATTTCAATCATCAATATGCAAGTGATGTCTGGCCTTCATTTTTGATGTTATATTCACCATGTGAATTTGAAAATGAGTTATTCAATTTAAAATAATACCTGTTAGGGATTGGAAGCAATGAAGATCAAATGTGTCAGCTTGGAGTAGTTCAATTCCTGAACAACCTGACACTGGTGATAACTGCTGAGAGATGGCATGCATTGAATGCCATAAGCTAGCAACTCGTAAGGTATCATTGGTATCCATTCGTCCAGCTGACCCATAATCCTAAATATAAAAAAGTTTAAGAAATTATAAATCATAATTTCAATTAAAAAAAATTGTTCTAACTCAACAGTACAACAGCAAAAGCTTTTTTGCATAGATGGGAATGGTTCTAGCTAACGTATATGGATTAAATGATACCATTCTGCTTGGTCAATAGGCTATTATTAATCAAGGCCTTCTTTAATTCGCTTTATTAGAGTTTTCCCGTCTTTTTTCAACTTTGCAGATACAAATAAAAAATTGCTATAAGTCTGCTAATATAGGAAGATTGAGTTATCATTATTTTCATCTTTCTCGGTGAAGTCACATGATTGAACCCAAAAATCTAAGTAGCAAAATGTGTTATTGACTGTATATGGATGAGCTCAAAGCTCTTACAATGGTGGAAATTAACAGAATGCAAGTGATAACCCAAAGTCAAAGACTCCTATTCCATAGCAAAGCTCCTAACTAACTCTCTAACAATATTTCTGAATCCATTACTCACTCACCTAAAATCAGGGAGGGTGCTAACTAACTCTAATTCCCTCTACTTCTACAATCCTCTAGAAATTTTGCTTGTGTGAATTGGGCTTAATATTTGGGTCATCAAAAGTGTTGGACCTTGGCATCCTATCATCATATCATATTAATAGTGATTCATTCAGCAAATTTCTTAAATATACTGAAATCTCTAAGAGGCACGGAACTTAACACCACTCATATATACTATTACTAAGAAACCTATGTTGCATCAACACTTTAGGCCGAAACCATGTCCGGTGTCTAGCACATGTAGTGTTATCGATAGCAGACGGCGGACCATGGGGGGAGCAGAAAATCTGCCATTTTGTGCTGCCATAAAAACACAATGGTGCCGCCATCCTGATCCTTCACATATTGACATGTGGCATTTGTCAAAAAATCCAGAATCTGCCATGGCACCACCATGGCCGATGTTTAACAACACTGGACACAGCAATTGTATTCAACTAGTTCATTTTCTCAAATTATTATCAATGATGTGTCTGGTGTCAGTGTCGGTGTGTCGCGCGCAATATATATTTCAGGATACAAAATAAAAATAATTTAAAATCCAGAGTAGCAAGCAATGGAACCTTATAGTAGATCAATCCACCAGACTTATTGATGATGTAAAGACTATAAATTGCTGCCATCCCAAAAGCCTTTTCCAGAATCCGAAAACCCTAATTTGAACAATTGAACTTCATTAAAGTTCTGTTGAAAAACTCGACAACACAAAGCAAGGAACATTTGAGAGGAAAACATAACGTGTAATAATATCGAGTTCTGATATCCTACATAACTAGGCGGTTAATCGCGGCCAATAGCAGCGCGATCGCGGCGGTGCGGCCGCTGGCCAGCGCGCATCACTGCCGGGCTGCCTCAGGTGAATCTCACGACAAAAAAATGGAGATTTTTTGAAAAATAAAATAAACAAAAATGGATAGTGAAGCCAATAGAATTACAGTAGAAAGAGGATGGATGGTGAAGAAGAAATGAAAAACTCACAATAAGAACCAGCGGGGTACTTGAATTTCGGTGGTGACTTCGATGTTAAAGGACAAGGAAGATCTCAGACTTTGCAAATTGAGATGAAATAAAAATATTTTGTTTATTCAACAATGGGTAAAAGACAAGTTCTATATATTCTTTTTATAATAAAATAAAAAAACTATTTTGTTAGAGAAGGCTAGAGAGGTTCAGAAGTGTCAATGAATTAAATATTTTAAAATTTTAAGATAATAGAGTTATGGATTTCCTTAAAATTCAACAAAACAGTTCAATTGATAATTATGTATGGTTATTAAATGTTGTGGTGCATGTTTAAATTTTTTACTTTCATTTTTAAAATGTAAATTCCAACTACTTAATTAAAGAAAAAGAAAATATTAGAAGTTTTATGTTACATTTTGAGAAAATGTAAAACAATTTTTCATATGTAATTAATGAAGAACACATATCATGTAACATTCTAGAATTTGATTCTAAAATGTAACACATATGTAATATGATTTTAATTAAATATAATATGAATTATACGTGTAAGTGGCATATGGAAGGGTGTACTGAAAATATCGGTAAGTTCATATATGAATAAAAATAATTATAATTAGTAATTGTTTTAATTTATTAATTAAATAATAGAAAGTAGAAGTTTTAGTGAGAAAATAGTAACTGAGAAGAAATAAGGGAAGTGGTGAGACTTGTGGAAAGAATTGGGCTTAAGTGTAATTAACAAAAGAGTAAATTAAATTTTTAGAGATAAAAGTGAATTAGTGGAGTTTTTGAGAAAATGTAAGTAAAGTTGGAGTTTTGGGAGAAAAGGAGGTTAGGGTTTGAAGAGAAAGAACTCTAACCACCAACTTCAACCTAATTTAGAATTGATGTTAGGAATCGGAGGTAAGGGGGAGAAAGTACTTCTATATGGGTGTTTTGCATTAAAGAGATAGAAGATAGACCTTACTTTCTTTAGGGATCATGTGAAATCCTTTGTGAATTATTGTTGTTGTATGACAATTTGAAAATTGATAATCGGATGTGTTAGTGTCTGATTTTTGTAACCAAATTCATATGTGTATGATTTTGTTTAAGTGTATATGATTTTATGACATTGTTGAGATTTTTTTGAAGGTTTCAACATAAACATGAAATTCATATAAAAGATGAATAAATATTGTAATTTTGTGGTTTATCATGTTATTATATGTGGTATAATTTTCTCGACATGTTGGGATGATTGGGAAGCTAAATTTGATGTTTCAAGGGAACTTCCATGGTCAATTTTCATTTTTGCTTTCTGGTTCAGGGTGACGGGTGTCACCTAGATGACGGGTTGACCGTCATGCACCTTAAGACACTAACGAGTGTCAGTGCTATGACGGGGAGACCGTTATGGTCTCCAGGCATGATTTTCTAAGCCACTCATCAATATAATGGCGAATGGTTTTTTTAACATGATGACGGGTGTCACCCTGGTGACATGCTACCCGTCATGCTGTCAGAATGAGCGTTTTTGTCTCTGTTGTATATTTCGAGCTGCCGGTTCAGATTTTTTACATTGTTTTGTGGTTTAGTCAATGGTTGGCTACTATTTGGTTGTGTAGGGGTTGTTATCAATTATCATGCGCTCAATTGATCTTGGTGGGGTTATTATTGTTGAAAGATACTTGAACTAACTACATGTTGTTTATATGGTGTAGCGATTGTATGAAATGTGTATGGTGTTGTTCTGTGATGTTATATGATGTGAATATGACTAGTATTGTTGTGAAATGCATGATTATATGGTGATTAATTATGTGTTTGAGGTGTTGATAAATAATTTAGAAGAGGGGACTATTTGTGTGCTTGTATGCATTGTTATTGTTGTTGGATAGTAGTTCAGAAAGGGGAATCACTATTATGTATCAATGTATGTTTTTATGGTTAAAAGGGAGACCATAAGCATTGTTATTGTTGTTGCATTGATTTTTTTGTGACATGTATCATTTTGTCATTTCGTTAAAAGTGGTATGTTCACTGGTTCAAAAGGGGGGACTAGTGGCTTGTCCCAAGCTTAGAAGGGGGGCTCATGAGTTCAGAAGGGGGACTCGGTTCTTAAGAGAACCAAATGTTGAATTGGTACCACATGCATAGTGTCACGTGTCGTGAGTTGCATTACACATATTTTCATATTGTTGTGGAATGGGTGTGAGATTGTGATGATGTTGGTTGTATATTGAATGTATGATATGTGTGTATTTATCTACCCTTTCATTTTTTACACAATTTATATTGAAGTTTATTTCTCACAATTTTTTCTTAATGTTGTCCATCATGGACATCTTGCAGAAAATCAGGAGTAAAGTTGTAGTTCTTTGTGGAAGGTGATTTGTTGAAGCCATTCTTCATTTTATTTACCGTTTATCGCATTTAGTGGTTTTAGTGTTCTTATCTTGTAACATCGGGAACAAGGCATTTCTTTTTGCTATGTTTTGAGTTAATGTTGAATTATGTGGTTGAAGGTCTAATATTTTCATTATGAGTTCATATGATGTGACACCTTAAATTGTCGATTAAATCTTTTTATATAAGATTTTGGCTTTATGGTGTTACATATCTCATCAAATTAGGTTTTTATTTTTAAAATACTAATATGACATGACTAACATAAGGATTGTGATTGATTGTATGTGTAATATTATTTTACACTATTTGTGTACTACCTTTAAACTCTTATGTTTTTAACCAACTTAATTTTTTACACAAAACATATACGTAATGTGTGTGTGTGTGTGTGTATGCATATATATATATATATATATATATATATATATATATATATATATATATATATATATATATATATATATATATATATATATATATATATATATATATATATATATATATATATATATATATATATATATATATATATATATATATATATATATATATATATATATATATATATATATATATATATATATATATATATATATATATATATATATATATATATATATATATATATGACTCACAAATAGAATGGATTGATAAAATAGAACAGAGTGGCTTAGAATGGTTAGATTTCATTCTATTGTTTGTGTATTTTTTTAAAAATTTGATAAGACATAATAGAACAAATTAGTCTATTCTATTGCATACACCTAAAATAGGATGGAATGAAATTTGAAGGCTTGGATGAGATATGATGTAATGGATTCCATCATATTCAATTCTATTTTATCCATTATTTACAAATCCAAGCAATTAAACCTCATTATTTATCACTCAAATCCATTTCATTTCATCCCATACCACCAATTCAAAAATAATCTAAGATCAATACAGATTATTGCGTACAAGAACCTTAAATAGATGAAGACTAAATGAAATAGAGTTATGTTACAATGGAGTGAGCTTATGCTACAACGGAATGGGGGTGAACCTGCAAGGTTAGCACTCCAATGCTCTAGTCAATGAATGAATGAGAAAGGAATTTGGAAGTGTGAATGAGAGAATACCTGAAATGACGTGTGCTTGCCTTTATATAATGATGGACGGTTAAAATCATCCCCGTGTTATCTAAGGCATTACATAGGGGGCCTTCCGATTACATCTGATGGTGGAAAATCGTCTGAATGTACGGATCGAAATGCATATCTCATGGTTGTTAGTACCCTGATACCTCAATGTCTTTATAACATGTTCTTGGACTAGGCCTCATTGATCAGTGCATTTTGATGCACGTTCTTCCATGTTTGTACTAAAGCATTTCTTTGATTTTATTTATTTATTTTTATGTTTTAACGTGTTTTTATATTTTATTTTATTTTTGCATTTAATTGTTTTTCGTATTTATTTTTCAGCTTTCGCGAGAAAAATCATAACTGGAGTTCCGGGAGTCCGTTTGAGGCGTTCTAAAAATCGCCGGAAAGCTAAGAGAGAGAGAGCTACGACTTTCGTGTTGGAGTCGAAGACAGATTCAAAGCCCAAAATTCCAAAATTTCGTTTGAAGTTGCAGCATTAGGATATTGTTTTTGTTTTGGGTCATGTTTTGGGTCTGAGTTATATTTTCGACCCAGTTGGGTTTTGAACCGGATCCATTGTTTGCCTTTTTAAGGAGAACTCGTGTTTCTGTTCATATTATTCACATTTCACTAAAAAATTGATGTTGGAGCTTTGTATGAATTATGGAGAACTAATTCCTTCGGATTAATTTGCTGTAATCGGTTCCCGCCAACACTTTGAGGTTCTTTTAATTTCCAATAAAATCTATTTCCTTTCAATTCTTCCCTATGATATTTTGTTTGCTTAATTCGATTTATGTTAGGGATGATTGATTTATTTCGATGATTGCATGTTCTTATACTTTAATCGCGGTTGCTTAATCCGCGTATGTTTCTCGTGTTTGCTTAATTCACGGTTACTATTTTATCTGTTTGCTTAATTCAGAAATTAGGAACGTGTATCGTATAATATCAATTGCGCTTGTTGATTGTTATTATAATCGGAAAGGGGATAGATACCGCTTAGGAATTGGGAATTATTAGGATCGATGATAAGTTGGGAAACGAAAACAGTATATTAGCCGTTTCAACTCATTATTACAATCACTTTTTCTAATCACTTATTTTTCGTTTATTTTATCTTAATCAAAACCCCCCAT